ATTTTGAGAGGTAAACTGAATATGGCATGAAATATTTACCGCATTTTACTTGTATTAACAGGTCATTGTCGAAGCGTAGTTTACGCACGGTTACCGTGTTCTACGCATTCATAACATGTTCACAGCGGTCGATATCCACGCTGTATCATATAAAAACGATTACCAAGATTCGTTACGCAAGACCAAGTTTTAAATTAGTTGCATTTTGAAGGGGTGGGCACATTGCCGAATGTGACCCCAAATATAAAAATTGCGCAAAAGTGGGGGGTGGGCGCTTGCCCGGGCATGGGCGCTAACGCGGTCGAGTACGGTATATATATATATATATACACAACTATCTACCGGTAATACCCTCTTGGGGAATTTATTAACATTTCCTTTACTTACCAATACAAAGTGATTGTCCTAACCCTACTGCAGTAGTCTGTGCCACAGCTTCATATGTAAGTGTACCAGACCGAGACACAATACCTATTTTACCATCCTGATGAATGTGGCCAGGCATGATACCCATTTTACATATTCCAGGCTGAATAACAGATGGTAGAAATTTGTAACATTATATTACTTCATGTCATTGCTCATATAGTGGAGGATTCAGCATTTGTACATCAATGAACAGACACACTTGCACAAGATTTCAATAAACCAGAAAACCAGCTGCTGATTTCAATGTTTTGTTCTTTAGCGATTGTAGTACTGAGTAAACTGTGACTCAGTCAATGTGAAGCAGATGAATAGTAGACTATACCTTTATTATTCCAGGGCAGTTAGGTCCAATTAATCTACTTTTATTTTGTCTTATAAGTTTATGTTTGACTCGAACCATGTCTTGTTGTGGTATGCCTTCCGTAATCACTACTATGAGTCCTATTTCTGCATCTATAGCCTCTAGAATGGCATCAGCAGCAAATGGAGGGGGAACATAGACCACTGTGGCATCAGCACCAGTTGCTTCTTTGGCCTAGGAAAAACATAGGGCAACAATAATTATAGTCTTACCCTTGTTTATAGATACCAGATATAAATTATGAGGTATAACAGATATTAAGGATTTAAATAGATGATGACATTGATTTCAGTAAGTGAGTGGAAAATAGGTAGGTAAAGTTCTGAGAAGTTTCCAAAAATAAACTTGAAATACCGACACACAGGGTAAAACTGACTTTGAATACTGCTTTTTTTTATCAGATTCAACCAAAATAAGAGAGGGGGAAAATAATAATCAGAAAAAAAAAAGTTCCTGTGTGCTTCTATTTTAACATCATGGGGACCACTTTACAATATCATGAATTTTCTGCAATTTCTAGATGCAGCATTGGCTAATAACAGAGTTGACCTGTCAGGTCAGACGATGCTGTTTCATGTCAAATCGTGCTGAAAACCATTTGCATAGCGAGTTTGCATATGAGCTAAAACAATAAAGATAATGAAAATCCTGACTTCAAACTGTTTTCCAATTCAGATTATGTTGAAAATATTGTAATAAAATGTTTCTTTTTTGTTTCTTCATTGCAAAATTGTTGTGAAAATCAATGATAAAGTAAATCATTTTGCAATATTGCCTCCAATCCAGCACATACATATTGAATGACAGTGGTCATTTGGATAATATTTGAGGGGGTTACAATGTTTAAACAAAAAAACATCTGCATCTTTATAGGGGTGTTCACAGGTATACGCCCACCCCTTACTTTTCTTGATTTTACATGTTGAGGCACCTAGACCTTTGACAGAAGTATGGTACATATAAATGTTTTACACAAAAACTATTATGCCTAAGTGAATTTCTGTGTAATATTACATGAATTGTATTAATCTCAACGTAGAACATAACTCAAATTATATAACAGTTTTTATACAATACAAATAATACATTTGAAATCTGGCTGGGATAAATACTGGATCCAAAACACAGATTTGTTGGCACTATATGGTCAATAACTTTGTCATTGCACTGCATTATATTCACAGATATCACATTTGAAATTCAGCTTTAATAATATTAATCTCACCTCTTGGACAGAACTGAAAACTGGAAGACCTAGATGTGTTTTTCCCCCTTTGCCCGGTGACACACCTCCAACCATGTTAGTACCATATTCTATGGCCTGTTCCGTATGAAATGTTCCTTGTTTACCAGTCAGTCCTTGGCAGATTACTTTAGTATTCTTCGTCAGTCTCATATTGACTCTACTATTGGAGTAACAATGCCTCACAGCAAAACGCTGGACTGTAAAATATACATTTGCATAGTACATGTTTCATAATAATATAAGCAGTCCAATAATACATAGCAGACAAATCACCTCATTTGATCTTCTACTGCATCTTTTATTTCAAATTGGTTGCAAATTAGCACAATCATGTAATCTAGAGCACGGAACTCTGACTAACAGTCCTGAATTTGAAGCTAAAAGTAAGTATATTCTTTAGATTAAACATTTATATGATAAGTAAACTAGTAGATGTGCAACATAGGCAGCTATTTAATTAAAAGATGCATTGGACAATGAATTGGACAATATATGTATTTAGCCTAGAATCTATTCACTTTCTTGGGTAGATCTGTATACCTCCAACATAGAATCTACTAGCAGGCTGAGCAATAAGAACACTGTCGGTACAGCATATTCAATACATGATGATATCAGAGGCAGTTTTCTTTCTAAACCATATTTTCGCCAAATTACCTCAGTTGACAAGCCCAAGTTTCTCAGTGAAATTGGACACTCCTTTTAATTTTAAGGATTTTGTATTCAAAACACACCTGATGTAAGGTGTTTTAGATCAAATAACAACATTTCTCATAACCAAATTTGCTTTAGAACACACATTGGATGTAATTTAAATTGCTATGTGTTCATCCAGTAAATTTAAAGTGCACATCGATGTCCAGCATTAGTCACTGGTTCCATGGCTTCATTTGGTAGTGTCTGTGCATGGGTCACTTATTAAATCAGTGCAAAAACACTGATATCATTGTTTTTCCCCTCATAATCTTATCTGTTTATAGGGTACAGTGACAGCAGAAAGCTCTACCTCAGTTTATAAATATATTTACAAAAATGTGTTAATACTAATCAACTTTCATTCAAATTTAATTTGCTCAAGACTTCAATACGGATTATGTCCAAAGTATGTATGCATACTGGTACATTCATTAAACATACATGTTGCAACTTCAACAGCTCACTTATTCAAAATAAAGCACTTACTATTTGGATGATTTAAAATCTAACATTCATTTTGATTGATAAAAAGGTATTTCATAAAATGTTTATAACGTCTCCAGGTTTCTGCTATTCACTGTAGATGTACAGTGTATGCAATATGCAGTTGCTCTTTACCCACATAGCGAGGTTTAAAAAACTGTGATACAGCGAGCATTAATACATAAAAATATGTGAATATTTAGAATGCTTTGTGATGTTTTCACAAAAAAGCAGTTATTCTTGAGAATTCCATTGACTAGGTTGTGATACTGTACTGTGGCCGGGTATGTGCGAGAACATAATTATGTTGTTTTTGTAGATTCCATTTTTGTTAATAACGAGTGAAACTAAATTCTGTTGCCGGTCCAACTTAATGGATTGGAGTTATAGAAATGGGTTAGTATAACACAAGTAACGAGCTGGCCCAACACAGTACAATCACAACTGTTATGTAATGCATAAAATCAAGAGTACAACTTGTTGAATGACAACAGCCCGTCGAAAATGTTGACATTATCAACGGCAAAAACTAATAACGTGCAGTTAGTTATCACGTACTTTATCGTCAAAAAAATCAACTGTTGCTATAATGGTTTGGGCACTCGGTGTTCATTAGTTTGAGTCTCCAATCAGTGGATTGTAGTGTACATGTCACTGCTACGTTTACGTTCGATCGTAAAACACTACGTGTTGATTAGAGTCGAGCTATAACATGAATTATAAATCAGTATTTTTTGCTCAACAACCTTGACGGTATTAGTAAATCGAGTAAACCAATGACACGAAAATAATTTGTTATCACAGGATAGGAAACGATTGGATGTTAAAGGTAAATTTCTTACCGAAGGTGCGTGCGAAAACTCTGGCGGCTGCCATTTTGGACGTCTGTAACCGGGGACCGACATGCAACGCGAATTTTGATACAGCGCCATCACCGACAGGATGTGAGAACAGCTGAGAAAATGGCTGTCGTTAGCGGAGGACAAAGCGGAAGTTGTGGTAATCTGGTTGATGATCTTGAGAACTCGTTTCAGGTGAGTATTAATGAGGTACAGTAATATCAATACTGTAGGTCACTGGTCAGTTTGGACTTTAACATGGACAATGTGAAATATTTAAAATATCATAGTACAGACAGGCGATAGGCATTGTACGATCGACGCAGCAATATACAAAGGGCTTGGGGTACAACCTGTGATTTGTATTATGTGTCAGTATGATATCTGTCTATAAATAAAATATGTTATGCATAAATAAACTTTATTGCCATACTAGGCCACCGGCCCATCACAATCTCAAGTTTACATTTATTGAAAACAATAATAATACATAAATACATAAACTGTAATATAAAATATAAAGTTTAGGTTAATTTTAGTGCCTCTGACCTTAACTTAAAAGCTTGATACAGGAATTTTGACAAATTACAAAGTGTAATGGGGACCTCAC